GGTACATGAGCAACCAGATCAGTCCTAGTTCAGCCCCACCAGAGTAGCTGGGGGGAAGCAGGGGACTACCTCACCATCATCCATTGGATGCGTGCAGCTTCCAGTGCGGGATCCCGGAGTGGGGGACTCCTCCACCTCTGTCCGAGGGACGTATGTGGCTCTAGCAAATAGTTCTGGGCCCTGCAAGAGTGGTAGGCCCCTCCACCACCACCTGCAGGGTGAACGTGGCTCTAGCAAGCAGTTCTAGACCCGCCCAGCTTGGGAGCCTGGACCGGGGAACACCTCCCCTGGCCCCCGTGGGGTGTGTGTGTCTCTTGCAAGCTGTTTTGGGTCTACCTAGAATGGAAGATTTCTCCGCCTCTGCCTGTGGGATGCCTGCAGCACGCCTGAAGCCCTGGTACTGGGCCTGCACAGAGCAGAAGCCTGCTGCCCATGAGGCGTGAGAATCTAGCAAACAGTTTTGGGGCCTGCCCGGCTCCGTGAGGGCAAAGGGACCCACTTGGCAATTGGGTTAGTCTGGGAAGGTTAATACCTCTTTCCCCACCTTACACCCAGTCACTCGTGGTCCCCCAGGTCCGAGACCCTATTCACTCCAGTAGGCCACTGCTCCCGGCGTTTACCTGGCAAAATCAGCCAGAAATCTGAGTTCAGCAGGGGGGCGTTGCGTGTTTAAATTAGGCTTCTGTCCAGCTAGATTTCTCTGTAAATCAGAGGTTGCATTCGGCTTTAAACTCAGGTGTCAATTCTAGCCTCTGCCTGCCCACTGCCTTTGTCGCAGCCGCATTAGCCCCCTGAGGGCTGGCGCTCCACCCAAGAAAGTTAAGTGCGCCCTGCCTGTGGCTGCTGTCCAAAACCTTTGCTTGCCCAAAGGATTGGGGCTGGAATGGCGTGCCACTCAGGATGCCACCGTTTCTGCACTGGCGTCCCCCGAGCTGACTCTCCTCTCCTCACGCCCGCACCACAGTCAGCACAGAACAGCACCAGCCCTTTCCCACTCCACCTCTCTCAAGGAGATGCCCAAGAATCAGGACTCCATAGGTAATAAACCTCCAGATCTCAGAGTGGGTGGGTAAAGACTCCTCTGAGTTCAATGTTGCAGGTGGGGAATATATACAGATTTATACAATTTTACAGTTTTTTATGTCTGGCTGGAGGGTGCTGTGGCATACCAACAGGGGTAGGAAGTCCAGTTTTTAGGTGGAATAGAGTGGGAGGAAGTTTGAACTCTGCTTGCTTGTTTGCATGGAGTAAACTGCGAGCCCTTGTTGTGGGGGAGGGGACTCCCGTCCGCTTGGTGGTGGATTTTGTACCTTTTGGTTGTATTTTTGGGGTCGCAGCTCGCCTCAGGAAGGTTGAAGTGCGCTCTTCAATCTTCTCTCTTGTCTCTGCTCCAAACCATCAGCTAATTTGCTAAGCTTCTGTCCTTTCAGCCTCCTTCTGGGAGCTTCTGTAAAAAGCTGGCTGTAGTCCGCCAACTTGGCTCTGCCCTCAAGGGTATTTCTTATAATGTCACATTTCATATGTCTATGAAGTACACCTTATGAACAAAAGAGGCCAAGTTTGTAATTCAACTGGCATTTACAGTGGAGTACTTGGTAACAGAGGGTGCCAGACAACTAAGTCTACAGCATCCTGACCATTCAGGTGGAAGCCATTTGTTTATGTTACTACTACAGAAGATGAAAAACACCAGTGGTATTTATAGACAGAGTGAAGTTAGAACCTGTGACTTTCCATCGTGGAGTTTCCTGTGTCTTGTCCTTCTCACTGGCACTTTCACATATCCAGTTGTCATGTGCCTGTGAGAATTTTTTCTTTTTCTGGATACAGAGTCTCATTTTGTCACCCTTAGTAGAGTGCTGTGGCATCATAGCTCACAGTAACCTCAAACTCCTGGACTTAAGCGATTCTCTTGCCTCAGTCTCCCAAGTAGCTAGGACTACAGGCACCCACCACAATGCCTGGCTATTTTTTGTTGCAGTTATCACTGTTGTTTTAGCTAGCTAGGGCCAAGTTCAAACCTGCCACCCTGGATATTTGGGGCCGCACCCTACCCAATGAGACACAGGCACCGCCCTTCAGGTTTTTCGATGAAAAGAGTAGGAGTGTTCATCTGGTGTGGTGGCTCACATCTGTCATCCCAGCACTTGGGAGACCAAGGTGGATACATTGTCTGAGCTCACAGGTTCAAGATCAGCCTAAGCCAGAACTAGACCTCATCTCTAAAAAATAGCCGGGTGTGTGGCCGGCACTAGTAGTCCCAGCTACTTGGGAGTCTGAGGTAGAAAATTGATTTGACCCAATAGTTTGACGTTGATGTGAGCTGTGATGCCACGGCACCCAACTGAGCATTACTAAGTGAGATTCTGTCAAACACACACACACACACACCCAAAATAGGAGCTTTATATAAAGATTCACAGAGCCTCATAGGTCACATCTCATGAAGTTGTTAATCAAAGGGGCTAGGTCTATTATTCCTTGATGCTTCAAAAAGTATGAGCTTTTTTGTGGTTGTCGAGCTTCTGATTTTTAGTGGGCCTCGACTGGGGTGATCCTGAGGGCTTTCCTAGGGGTATCCTCTTCCCAGTCAGAGAAGTTTACCTGGATGTTGATTTCTTCTGACCATTTGTCCTCAGCTTCCAGATACTGGAGTAGCACCTATCAGACATGTTCCTGATGTACCTTCATTGACAGAAGATAATCTGAGTATATAATTTAGACAAGACTCTCCCCAGCAAGACAACTAGGAAATCAAGCATCTGAAGGAACCAGTGAGGCATCTCTTTTTCTCCATCATGTAAGAGGTTTAAGAAAGAATTTGTGTTCTGACTGTCCTGTCACTCCTGCTACAGAGCCAGGTTGTTTAGTCATAGGAGAAAGTGCAGTATGAAGTGCTAAATATGCAGCCCTGGCATTTGTTAGAAAGTCTTGACCCACAGGTAGAGAAGGGAGGGTAGACTATGCAGTAGACAAGGCCTCCCTACAGACGCTGAGGCACATTGTTGCTGTCCAGAAAAGCATCAATGTCATGGATGAAGCAATACTTGTGGACAATGCTGTGCCCATCTCAGGTGGCCAGAGTTCCCCAAGCCCTGCATTTTCCCACCCAGAATCACAACGTTAGATTCCAGGTGCAGGAGGCATCCGTTACCAAGTATCTAACCACTTCCTACCCTGGATACCTGAGTTCCATACCTACCTGTGGCTGGGCACCTCGGTTTAGCCTTTGCCTCACCCAGTCCTCTTCCTCAGATGACACCCCTGTCTGCTCTGACTTTTACCAGTGATCACAGTGAAAGGGCTGCCCATTGATTCAACCTGAGCGGAGTCTGCAGTGTCTTCCTGCATCTTTCTCAGGGAGTCAGTGAAGAGGTTTATCACAGACCATTTGCCTCCAGTTGAGGGGTGGCTAATGAGCTTTCATAAAGCCAAGAGAAGAGTAAAGCTGTAGGTTTATAAATGACCACAGTGATGCACTAGGTGAAAAATCTAGTCCAAACACCTTATTTCATTGAGAATGTCACCACACAAAAAGGGCAGAAATAAGGGCATGGAGTCCCCAGTTTGTCCCACAACCAGAAAGGGTGCAGTGTGGCCAGAGTACACATTTGTGAAAGAAAAAATAGGTTGTTGTTCAAGTGTGGCAGAAGTTACACATACATATTCTGTTATCTTAGCTTAGCAACAAAAATCCAAGAGGTGTGACAAGTGAATTAAAGACACAGAGGAAGGAGTAAAAATGTCAGGCAGTTGAGAAAAAGAGAGTGAAATTTTAAAGGATAAAGTTGGCTCCTTTGGGGCTCAGTGCCTGTGGCTCAAGTGGCTAAGGCGCCAGCCACATACAACTAAGGTGGCAGGTTCGAATCCAGCCCGGGCCCACCAAACAACAATGATGACTGCAACCAAAAAATAGCCGGGCACTGTGGTGGGCGCCTGTGGTCCCAGCTACTTGGGAGGCAGAGGCAGGAGACTCACTTGAGCCCAGGAGTTGGAGGTTGCTGTGAGCTGTGATGCCACAGCACTCTACCCAGGGGAATAGCTTGAGGCTCTGTCTCAAAAAAAAAATTTGGCTCCTTTTTTTTCTTTTGGTTTCAAAAGAGTAATTGATAACGTTGAGTAGAGATAACAGCTTAATAATCTTGATCTTAACACTCATAACTAATCAAATACAGCTGTAGGCAGGCAGGAGAACATACAGAGAGGAAGATTTATTTTCACTCTATAGTGCAAGATTGATGTTGAATAATTAATGCAATTCATTTTTATTTATTTATTTATTTATTTTGGTTTTTGGCTGGGGCTGGGTTTGAACCCACCACCTCCGCCATATGGGGCCAGTGCCTTACTCCTTTGAGCCACAGGTGCTGCTGAATTAATGCAATTTATTTAATTGGCAATTTATTTGCCAGTTTCAGTATATACAGAGCAATCTGAAGAGGTTTTATTTATTTATTTTTTTCCAAGTTTTTTATATTTATTAATCAGTGTAATCCTCAACAAATACATCAACATGATTTCATGCATTTAGAGGAAAAGTATTTCCTGGTTAAGTGAAAAATTGTGGGGATGGCTTCTAGAAGACATTCATTCTAAGCAGCTTTATTGTGAAATATTTGGTTTAGAAGTCTGGACCTTCTTACCTCAGTTTGCTATAATCCACATTCACTGAGTAGAACTTGTATTATTATGGCCCATTCCCAGGCCACGCCCCCTCACCCAAGGTGGCAGAGACTGTGCTTCCCAGCCCATTTCCCTCCTCCTCCTTCCCCCCAGAGTCAACTCTGGGAACAAGGCAAGTCCCTACTCCTCCCAGAGTGGCTGAGAATGTGCTTCCCAGCCATGTTCCCAGGCCCTCTCCTTCCCCCGAGGGTTGCCAAGAACAGCATTCAGAACAAGGAAGCACAAAAACCCTCAAGTTCCCAGTGAACAATGGTGGAAATCCACCAAGGCTTTATTAATCATGGTTACCTAACTATAACCATTGTGATCTAAGATATATCTATTGTCAACCAAAACTGTATTAATCATTGTAACTGTAACCATTACTGTATCCATGACTACCCGAACTGTAACCCCCCTTAACCAGCCTTGTTTCGCTTCTGTAGTATGCTTGCACAAACCTATAAAAAGCAACCCACCCCCTACTTCTGGGCTGCTGACTGTCTCTCAGTGCAGTAGCCCCTACGGCAGGTAAAATAAATTACAATTAATTACATCTAAGTGGGGGTCTGGCTCTATCTTTTCAGGTCTAGGGGGTATAACAGTATTGATCAGCGGGACCCAGTTTGTTCCATGGTTCTGGGTTATTCTTTCTGTCCCAACTAACATCTGGAGTGAACAATGCCAGACTCAAGACATACAGTGCTGCTCTAGTACTTCCAGCTTCAATAAATACAAAGAGGGGAATCAAGCTCAGATGCTTCTTGGCCTGACTGAGGATCTGGCAAAGCATGTTTGCAGCAGCTGCTTTTAGTCTACAGGGGAAAAAAAATAAATAAATCTGCTGGCCAAGACCTGGACTAAGTGTGCACCCCCAAAGAGGTTTTAAACAACATCTCATAACAAAAAGAACACTTTGTAGTCCTATTTTTTTTTTTTTTTTTTTTTTTTTTTTTTTTT